GTCGGTCTGGGTGGCCGCGCCGTCCTGGAAAGTTTTCCTTCAGGGAAAAAACCTACATCTGCCGCCCCTAAAACGCCGAGGGAAAGGAGGCGTTCGCTAAAAGGCGGTATTTCTTTCCCCTTTAGAATAGTGCTTTTTCGCTAGAATGCGTCAGCTCGCTCTGCCTTCGCTAGAGCAGTAAAAATGTAGTTGGCTTCAGCGCCGGGGTGGAGGGAGGTGACAGGGAGGGGAGGAAGGTCTCTGGGAGCCTTCAGAGCCACCCGCCAGTGCGAATTGGCTGCGCTTCCTTCCCCGGGCACGTGTGGCGATTGTAAGCTGCTTACTTAAATATTCAGCTTCCCCCAGCCACCCCCCCCGGAAACAGTAGCTTTCAGAAATGAGTAAAATTGTTTAGAAGACGCTAGCTAAAAGTCTAGAATGAGCTGTTTGATGTATTTGTGGACTAAATCAAATACTTTTAAAATTAGGCTTTGAAACTCGCAACTTCAGCCCCGTTTTTGTCATTCATTAAGGTTAGTTACAGACTACTACTCTCTTCTTGTGAATTAAGAAGTGAGATGAAGCATGGCTCAGAGTAGCCAAGAACTGACTAGTTATTTCCTGGTTTGATTTCAGCTATATGTTCCTTCTGTAGGATCAGCATCTCATAGCATTGTTGTTAAGTTCTCAACTTCACTGTTCTTAAAACGCAGAAGTAACCTCTTTTTCATTTACAGTATATAATGAAAGACAATGTAAAAATTCCTTTCCCATAGAAAATAACCCCTGCTTTCACCACCTTTGGTTTATGATGATGCTTTAATTTCATGTGGTATAGATCTTGCTAGTCAGTTCACAGTGAAATTATTCTTATGCACAATGAAATTATTCTTATGCTCATCCAAACAAATACAATTGAACACCAGTGGCTGCAACTGATCTTGTTCATTTGCCTTTGTGAGTAAAAGGGTACACACTCAAGTACATGGTTATCTTTTACTAAGTAACTTTATTTTACCTGAATCTTATCCCTCCTTGTTATCAGTGGTCTTAGAACCTGTAATATTATTTTGTGAGAGGCCCCCTTTAGTCAGTCTCTTAATTTTACTTTTTTTTTTTTTAACATTCATTTGTCATTGTGCATGTTTGCTTCCTTTAAAAAGTCACCAGGGAAACAATGGGTAGGTAAGGAAAACGTAGTTTGCTAGTATTTGAAGTTCCTGAACAGGTGAAAGTGCGTAGTATACCCGAGTCCTTCCCTAAAAAAAAAAAAAAAAAAAAGACACGTAGCTTGTAAACTAGCTTTCTAATGCAGTCTATATGGTTATTTATATAAATGGGAAATCACTGTAGTTTCACCTTTGTACTTCTAAGCCTGCTGCTGTCTTTCTCTGCCAGAACTTCATCCCTTGGAAGCAACCAGTGATGGCTGTTCTACGTATTTTTACTTCTACTTAATTATAAAACAGCCTCTAAATTTCTTGATCTGAAACATCTGGTTTTGTTTTGTGAAAAGGGCACAAGTAGTCAGGTTTATTTAGAAATGTAGTGTGTGTAATGACTGATGTTAAAAAGACCTAGCAATTTTACTTTTTTTTAGTCTTGAATGTTTTTCCAGACATCAAGGATTTATTCTTTTATCTCCAAAGGGAGCCTTTGCAAATGACCTTACATATTTTTAAGCAGGCAAAAAAACCCAGAGAACAGTTTAGGGATTTAATGTAGAACTGGCAGTAGGTTGTTGGTTATAACTCTTGATTGAATAAAGAAAATAGTTACCAGTAACTTTGAAATACTAAAAAAAGATTCTGGGTTTACTGGTATTGCTTTGATAACTTGAAAATAGCTTTACATGTTCAGTTTGTTTTGGGAGGCTTCCTAACTACCTATCTGTTTGGAAGGTGCTCGTATTTACGTTGTCTCGTGTGGGTCAGATCGCCCTTGTACTACCTGATAAGCTTTTTGCAAAATTTGAGGCATATGTGTATGATAGCATTTCAGACTGAACTTTAAAAGGCTCTGTATAGAAAACTATAATTTTCTTACTTTCAAGTTTAAGGCCAAACTAGTGATGTGATTTTTTTTTTTTTTATTTTTTAAAATATGCTTGTTACTAGAAGAAAATTATTGGGTTCGGTGTAGTCCTGTGTGGTTACTAGCGAGACTGTTCTTGAGTTTTTCAGTATTGACCTATGGTTTTGATTTGAGAAGCACGTGGGTATTTTAATTGGATGGTTTTATCTGTTCAAAGGGAGGGAACAGGCTTCAAAAATCCAGAGAATAAATATCTACATAGCTTTTTAAATAGCCTATGGTAGAAATGTTGCCCGAATGACTCCATGAGGATGTGGGAATTTGTGTACTTCCATTTTCTTCTTTTCTCTGATATTTTTCCCATGGTTTTTCATGGCCCTCTAGCACAAGTTGGGGGGTGGAAGCAGGGAGGCATTGGGCACTTGACTGTCTGGCTCGGTCTCCCAGAAAGCAAGTATGGTACTTCTGACCCAGTATCCTTGGGGCCTGCAGAAACGGGAGTGCTCCGGAGGGCTGCAGCAGTCAGCTGGTTTACACTCAAAGATCTCACTCCTTGGCATTTTCTTTTAGTGTATAAATTAAGGAGTATAAAACACATATTTGCTAAAGGTGCTCGGAGGTCGAAGGTAGTTCTTGAACAGACTAAGTAGCGATGACTTACAAGTCAAAAATATTTGGAGATAGGTATAATTTTTTTGTTGATGTGTAATTAGAATCACTTAGAAAAGCAAAGGGGTAACACAAGCTAGTCAGCCTGATACTGATGGTCTGCAGCCCTTACAGTTTTGATGCTTCCTATTTGTGCAAGTGTATCCTCAATTGAAATGTTTGTCTTTGCATATTGTAGGGCAAACAAATACTAATGTACTAATACAATATCCCCCCCCAGTATTGGTAGGACCGATTCGTCAATTTTAATGACATTGAGAATGTGCTTAACAGGAGATTTTAAAAAAAAAAAAAAAAAAAAAAAATCTGCTTTTAAGGATAGTCTGGAATGGAAGCTGATTGCAGAGTATTAACCTCCCTTGGAGGAGGAGGGGGAAAAAGTCAAGACAAGGCACTTCTACTTTCAAAATGGGAGGTATTAATCCTGTGACAGACAGCATTGCAGTACATGACCGGAACTATCTTAAATAACATGTAGAGCTATTGTGTCATAGGTAGCCGTACAGTTACACCATAAAGTTGCTGAATTCTGGGTTGCTTGAAAGGAATCTGCTTGTCAGGAAATTCCAACTATTGGAGTAATATTTGTGTAGCTTTTAAGAACAACTGTATTCTGCAGTAATGACCATTTAAATCTAAGTGATCGTGGTAATCAATGCAGTTATTTGATTACCACAAATTACGTTTAACCCTGGGATTTTAAGTAGGCTTATATTCTGGGAGCATGTTCGAGTATTCGCATGCTTACAGGACATACTCACGTGTACCAGAGAAGGACATAAATACTGTGAATCCGGCTTCTACTTGCAAAAATAATTTTTTATTTCATGTCTAGAAATTGACATACTCTTCAAGGCTTGGGGTTGATAAGATATACAAATAAATACAGAGAGTTTATAAAGAAAACTGAATCTTATTTTCATTTGAAACCATAGAAAATTATTTACTTGAAAGCAACGTATGCTTTTTCTAATATGGTTAAGTCATTCCCTTTAATGATTTTAAAAAGGGCTGCAGCTGAGAAGAATTCCTATGGTTGCCTGTTCTCACTGACACAGCATCTGCTGATTTGGATTTCACCGGTGTCTTAATGTGGCAAGAGGACTTAGTCCTGTGAAGTTAATTGAGCTGAATATTGATGCTGCTTGCCTGTAGACGATAAAATAGGAGTACTTACATTTCAGTTCAGATAAGTGTTTCTCTAGGTACAAGTAGATTGTGAAAGGAAATGAGTCCTTTTCTTTCACAAAAAGTTGTCCCTAGTACGAGGTCTCAGGAGTTCATTTTCCTTCAGCAGTACTTCTTTTAGAGATATGCAAGCTCTCTAAAAAGCATGGGCAATTTTTAATGTTGCAGGTACTACGCTGGTGCAGGATGTCCAGACGGAACTGAAAGGACAGATTCTAATGTCAGCAAAACTGATTTGAAAGAAGTATTGATTCCATGTTGTATTTTATATCTGAAGCAGCCAATGGCAAATGTTGTCAAAATGGAATCAGATGTTTGTAACTTAATACTTAAGAAAAATGATGAGTGCATGTTTTTGACTTTAAGTATTCTCTATGCTGCCTGGCTTAAGACATAAACTGATGTAAAAATAAATGACTGCCTGCATAATTTATGTAATGTCTTGCTCCCTGATCCTGTTTGTATTGATTTTTCTAAAAGGCTTTTGTGGCCACAGGAACCAATCTGTCTCTCCAGTTTTTTCCGGCCAGCTGGCAGGGGGAGCAGCGACAGACACCGACCCGGGAATATGTCGACTTTGAAAGAGAAGGAGGCAAGGTAAGAAGGGAATTGTTGCAACTGAAAGGAATTTTTATGTTGTGCTTATGATCTTATTAGTATGGACTGCATGTATGATGCAGTATTACTAATATTTCACATCTTGGTGCATGTAGGTAGTCACATGAGTACATCTGAAAGCTGGTAGGATAAAGTCTGATAACCACTTTGTTTTAAAGCATGTTAATATTTCTGGAGGGAAACACATGGGCAGTACTGGACGGTTTTTATTATTTTGAAGAACAGAACCTTATTTCTACTCTCATGTTATAATAAAATTTTGGGGAACAATTTAAATTTAGTGTTGAGTAGGTGCTTCTGAAATGGTTCAGAAATTAGACTTTGGCCAGTGAATTGTGGTAGGTGAAGGAAAATTTACGCTTTGAACTGGTTACTTCATTGGGTCTTAGGCTGCCAGTTGATACAACAAGCATTCAGCGTGCTGCTTAGTCGAATGAAGCTTTTTTCTCAGTTTCACCATAAGCTATAATACAGAAGCAGCATCGCTTTCAGAATTGATTTTTGAATATTTTTTTTTCTGAGGTGGTTGTCCCATAGACTGATATCGAAAGCTAGAATTCCCTAATGACAGTGATGGTTACTGTGAAGTTTTATTAGATTTAAAGTCATAGACCTTGCTTAGTCTCATCAGAATAAAGTTGCTGAAATCATTTACAGCTGATGTTGTTTTACAGGAAAAACACATCTTTAAAATGTAGATGCTGTCTCTTATCTGTGCTACTGTAGATGCTTTGGGACTGATCCAAAGATAACTGAATTCAATAGGAAACTTTCTGCAGACCTCAGTAGGTTTGGACCAGCACTTAAGCCCCATAGCCTTTCTGTTTCAGGCTCATTTCTGTATAAATCTTTTACTTTAAAGATTTTTAATAGCCTACAAAATTATTGCTTTTGCCTAAAATTTTCTATCCACTCTTGTAACAAGTAACAGCTAATGCTACCAAACCTACCAGGCTGGAGGAAATACTTGAAGCATATTCAGGTTTAATGGCATATTGGGTCTTTTAAATGCTGCTAGGTGGAAGATAAATATTTCCTGTAGTGGGAAAACTTGATTGGAAGAAAAAAAAAATTCCTGAGGGCAGATATGGTATTTGGAATTCAAGTTAATGAGGTTTTTGGGAAAAAAATTGTTTTCCATTTAGTCCTGTGAGGCTTGCAGAAGTTTGACAAATTGGGGGAGAAGGAGTGAAGTTGGCTATGCTGGGTACTGACTGCTTTGCTAAGGAAACTGAATTGAATCTGGCTCTTATTGAAAAATATTGATTCTGGCTCACAATTGAATGAGGAATTTTTCTTGTAATGTGTAAGAAGACCGAAGTCTCTCTTCTTGCCAGTTCAAAACTAATTTTATTTACTCCTATGATTTTTTTAACTTTGTTTTCTCTGAATGAATTCTTAAAGTACTGAACTACTACATCCATTTTCTTGTGTTGTCTTAATCATGTAAGAGCGTGGTAGATACGCTGTGTATTAAAATAGAACATGAGCCTCCTTAATGAATGCCACTCCCTGTTTTATGTGTGTTTACAGTAAATTCTAGAGTGCTTTGCTAAAATGCTTAGAAGAATTCATCTGAATGAGGCTAAAGGTGGACAAACTAATAAATGGGAATCGTGTTACGCTGTAGTATGAACAAATCACAAATTCATCATTGTAATCAAACTTTGCTAGTGTAAATCACATGCAAATGCAGGCTTGCTCTGCACAGAATTAAACTTGTCGGAAAGTAAGCCACTCCCATAACTTCAGAAGAGGAGTAAGCAGAATGGGAGAGTGTTTCTTGTGTTATCAACAGAAACAGTTAAATGTTTCCTATGAATTGGCTGAGATTTTGTCCTCTGTAGATTTTTGTCATTTGGTTGTATTAAGAATTTCTTTCATAGGCTTCAGCAGTCTCTTAACACCATGTGATTTTTGTAGCTCTGTGCATCGTTGTTTTATGAACTTTGATTCTTGAGGCGGTGCATAATGTGTGTTTGTTCATCACTGGATTTAAGCCAGCAAGGCATGTTTTTAATTATATGAATAAAAAAAGGCTATGGGGGGAGCTGTCAGTTAATTATTATTTTAGGCATTAGTTTGAGATCTAGAATGTAGATAAACTTACCAAGGCTAGAATATTTTTATTCTGGAATTCTGCTTCGGTGTTTGGCTAAGCAAATGATGGCCCAAAATAGTTTATCCAGAGTTGAAGTATGTCACTGTTGTGCCTGAGCAGTTTTGTACACAGATTGACAAAGCTACCAATGCAGCATCTGCTAGAATTGCTTCTTAAATGGTTGAATTTGAGAAAGAGCAACACCCTTGTGAATCCATGTGAAAGTTGGGATTCTGTGAATATCTGCTTCATAGGCTTGAGGTTTTTCGTTCTGATGTTTCTAACTGAGGGGTTTTTCCTATGCTTAATTTGCGTTTTAATTTGATGCATCTGATGTTCACGATGGGTGGGTAGGCCTCTAGCGGATACCCTGTCTTCATTAATTCAAGAATTGGATAGCTAAGTGTTCACTTAATGTTTCTACTCATTTTAAACTCAAGCTTAACATTTGAGATAGTTTTAACATTCTGTGCTGTCTTTGACCTGTAGCAAATTTAATTGTGTATTTGAGCAATTTTTCAGGTTTGTCATAGCGAAAGAAAAAGTAGCACTAAAAACAGGTCCCTAGACGGTAAAAATCATAGAACATTGTATTTCATTGTGATTATGGGTGTGTGTGGGGTGCGTCAAATTCAGTGTATGTCCTGTTTCTGGATATCCGAACCATGCCAAGGCTTCCTGATCCTTTGTGTTGTCAGCTAATGCCCAGTTCTTATTTTTTTTCTTTAAAAAGAATAAATGAATAGATATTGTTAAGAAATTCAGAGGCAGACAGTGTGGTAGTGTAATGTTATTGCCTGAAATCTCACATAACTGAACCCTGCAATGAACTGGGAGAGCTTTATTTTCACCTTGGTTCTCCGGTATCATTAATTACTTGGACTAGTTTTATTGTGCTTAAAGAAGTTCTTTAATTTTTACTTTAGTTTTATACTGATACCGTATGAACTTCAGGCTGAACTCAGTGTGTGTGTACTTCAGTGCTTCTTAAAATCTAATTTTATTGAAAGCCCCCTTGTTTTGTTGAGAGCTGTGTGATCAACTTTCTTTGCATGAGTCATTTTGTATACTTCTTACAGTAAGATAAAATGTCCCCGGTTTTCATTTGTTATTTGAGATGTTTATATAGCTCTGGTCTGTCTTACCTGCAAGAACATTAGTTCTCGGATATTCTTTTTTATTGTTTAAATACCAGTTACTACACTGATGAAGTGTGTGAAGTCATTTTACTTCCCCTCCCCTTTACAATACTATTCTCCATCTCGTTTCTAATGCAGCTTAACTTCCTGTTCGGCGGCAGCTGCTCATAAACCAGAATCTTTAACACAGGCTTATTTCAGTATAATGTGCTGTGAACTCCGCAACTCTGGAGGAAAGCACATCAGACATGATTTAAATTGATTCAGAGTGCCTGGTATGCCACATGTGTGATGTAGCTAGGATTTCTACTCACTAGACCATTAACTTTGTTCTAGCCATAACTAAATATTACTGGACTTCAGTTTTCTTCCTGAAGATGCTGAGTTTCTACTCATGTGCGTTTTTTTCTGTTGTAACTAGGAAATTTTATTTGATTATGAATTGATGTTAAGTGCTTGGATGAATCTAAAAAACTGAAAATCTCTGTTGTGCTGCAGATATTACAGCAGTTACAGAAATGGAATGAGAAAGAAAGGTGCTGTATTTGAATAAAAACTGTATTTAAATGGCAGCCAACAGCACCAGTTTTCCATTTGTGTCCTCTTTTCTCATAGAGGTTTGATAGATAGGACTTGTCCCCAAATCAACTTTTTCTTTTATGACTTTAGGAATAAAACTTCATAATAATTGGGATGGTGCATTGGCTGCTCCATTTTCTGAGCAAATGCGGTTTCCAGTCAAACATAGGATCACAGTGTACCCAGTGGAATTTGCTGGGAAAGCGAAGGCTTAATTTATGAGAAATATCTGAGTATCAATGCTAACCTGTATTGAATCAGAAGTTTTACTTTCTTTGGTCCCCACCGCTTTCTGAAGAATTTAGATGGAACATTAAGTCATTCCGACAAAGTTGGAGTAGCAGCTTTCTTTTTCTTTCTTTAGGTACCTTTACTTTTAAAAAAAATCAGTAAGGGTGTCTGGGAAACTGATTTACAGTTTCAGCTCTCACTTTACCCTCGTTGTAGTGCTAAAGAGCCATATTCCTTAAGTTCCTATATTTTCAGTCCAGCAGTATTTGGGGTTTTTGCATTGTCACCATCTAAAATGCTCTTACAGTTAGCAATTACTTAAATGTGTTCCCTGCAGTCCACTGAGTTTCTGGACAGAAAGGATTTGAGTTTAATTTTTTTCCAGATCAGTGGGAAAAGATGTCTGATGTTAGGGATTTAGGAAAAAAAATGTATGCTAGAGCCATAATATTAATTAAAGAGCATACTGAGATGTGCCACCACATAGGGCAAGCCATCTCAGCCATGAGATGCATGTGGTCTTAACAGTTATTAAGACTTCATCCTTTTATTTGTCTGTAGTCATTTAATGCTCCTTCAAATTATTGTGAAGTTCTCTGTTTAAAGGACGTCAGGAGACAGCGCTACAACCCTGAAGAGTTGGGCATCACCTAACAAAAGTTCACGGAGCTGTTTGTGTGTGGTGGAGGCATATGGGCGTGTAAGGTGTAACTTAGAAAAATAGCAATTGTCAACCTTTAAGTGGTAACCATGCGTGTTCTTTGTGGATCATCTCTTAATATGTGAGGGCGTCTGGTGAGGACATTTTGTTTCCCAGGAGCTGTCCTGCTCATAAATGCTTTCTCTTGCAGAACGTTCTTGTTGCTTACAGATCTGAACTCGAGCTGAGGTTCATTGCGTAGCTCTGTACAGTCCTTGACTGATTTTTA